CCCGGGTGTGGTGCCCGCACAGAGGCCTCTCCTGACGGAGGTGTCGGTGTTGGCGACTTTCTGACTTCAGGTTGTGTAAGTGCCTTAAGGAAACAATCAGTCCCTATACCTCATTTGTATTTTCAAAGTGCAGGATGTTTGACGAGATCGCGCCCATGTTTGCGGTGTTCGGGTGGCAGAGAAATGCCTTCCGCTGTGCGAAAGTCGTCTCCGAATTCAGTGAAGAGCAACCATCATACCTCGTGGTCTCTCTTTTCAATTGACCAGAAACCTCCTTCTTTGTTTTCAATATGAAGTGATCTGTGTCCTCAGAAACGTGTCCCTGAACGTGCGGGCACCGTGGGAAGTGCCCCGAGGTCACAGGTGGTTTCGTATGTGGGGGGCGCGTCCCGGGCTGGGGGGTCGGGGGCACCCCATCCCTGGGGTGGCCAGGAGGCCGTCGGGCACGTCGTGAGCAGTTTCGAAGCCCGACCTGGGCCCGGCACGGCCTTCCTTCCGGAAGCAGGAGACCCCGGCTCTGTGACCAGCCGGCCCCAACCGCGGGAGGGAGTGCACATCCCCGCCATGAGCGTGTTCACAGCGGCTCTAAACACAGCCAACTTGACTTCTCATCCTCGTCACGTCGAGTGGTAAATACAAGCTGGTGTTCCGTGGGGCGTGGGACTGCCCCTGAGGGATCAAGTCACTTTTAACACCCAACCCCTAGAACCGACTTCTGTCGAGTAGAGAGCGGAGGACTGTCCACAGCGTGACAGTTGTGGAGGTTGCTCAGGTGTAGAACGACAGCGGACCCCACCCTCCGCGAGCGGCCGGCGTCTCCAGGCGCCTTGGTGGCGGATTGTGGTTTTGCTTGGAGGCACATGCACGTGGGCTAGAACGGGTGACTGGGACCGTGTCCTCTACCCGGAGGCGCGGCTGCCTGTGACTCGCAGTGACTGTCTGGAACCGCAGCTGGAACGTGGAATGTGGCGGGGCCACCGGATTAATCTCACGCGGAGCGTCCGAGCTGCGGGCGGGGTCCCGGGGCCCTCTCGGCAGCCACGGTGACGTGAGGCGAGTGTACATATTTATTTACTTTCTGATGTTGCCAACAGACAAGTGCCTTTTTACGTTCATTGTAACCAGTTCATACCAAAGAAACGTTTGCACTATGTAACGATGCCTTCAGTTCAAATAAACGGGCCACGTTTTCAAACGGAGAGTGGCGTTCTTTTTTCCCTCAGCCCGTCGTCGGGGCGGCACCTCGGGGGCCCTTGGGAGGCCGACAGCAAGGTCGGGACCCGAGGCAGCTCCTGGAGAGAGCCCAAGCTGCTCTGCCCGTGCACGGTCTCCCACGAAAATGTGAGAAAGCAGAGAAAAGGAAGCACAGTTAGAATAGATGCTTTGGGGCCCCTGGGGGCTGTCAGTTTAGCGTCGAACACGATTTCAGCTCAGGCCATGATCCCGCAGTTGTGGGATCGAGCTCCGTTTCAGGCTCTGTGCTAACAGCACACAGCCTACTTGGGATTCTCTCTCTCTCTCTGCCCCTTCTCCCTCTCAAAACAAACAAACAAACAAACGGACTCTGCTCTCAAATAGCTGGGATGCTGTCACGGGCCGAGGCGCTTTGCCGTTTCGATCTCAGGAGAGGGGGACATGTCGCGGTCTGGACCAAGACGTGTCTGCCAGAGACGCCGTGTGGCCCCGGCCGACACGCGGACTCTGCAGGGGTCCCAGAGACGGAGGTGACAGACGCGGGCTGTTCCTCTGGGGACCCACCCTGGTCCGGGCTCTGGGTGCGAGAGGAGAGGACGCTGTTCCGAGGGGCGCTGGAGGGGGTGGGGCACCTTCCCGTCTCGGGAAGAGTCGGTCCTTTTCGCCGTCATCGCAAGGAGAACAGGGAGCGAACAGCAGGGAAGATCACACGCGTTTCTCAAACTGCCGAGTTGCTTCCCAGCCAGACACACGAGTGGCTGTGTGACACCCAAGTCTGGGGAGCCGAGGCCCTCAGTTACCGGATGCTTTAGCGACGCGTTCTCCGTCCTCGACGGCGCAGCGGTGATGAGTGCGCCTACTCGGGGTCGTGGGGAGCTTGCAACCGCTCTTCACCAGCCACGCCAGAATTCTCGTCTCTCCTTAGACGCGTGTAATGCTACGTATTCGTGTGACGTGAACAGAATCCCGTTCCGTTAAACTCCACGTCGCGAGGTGGCCATGAGCCGGAGCTTGGGGAGCACGTGCCCAGGGGGCGTGTCGTGTCGCCAAAGGTGGGGAGAAGCGCTGGATGAGGGGGGGTGCAGACCAGGCCCTGGGCCTCTCGTCTTGCTTCCCCTCCCCCAAGACCGACACCTGTTCGTGTGCCGGCCACACCTGGGATGGCAGTCCCGGAGGGAGGGTCTGGCGGGGGGGTGCGCAGCCCTCGGGGGCCCAGGTACACAGGTGTTCAGTTCACCGGGACCACCCGCGGCCCGGCCAACAGGAGGCCAGAGGATACTTTCCCAGTCGGCGTGGAACATGGTTGGGGGGGGGCAGGGGGTGAGTGCTGTTTACCTATGTTAAGTGAAACGGAGAATGTGAAACTGGCAAAAGTGAGTCATTTGGAGCTTGCTTTAAAAACTGTGGAGAGGGGCGCCTGGGTGGCGCAGTCAGTTAAGTGTCCGACTTCAGCCAGGTCACGATCTCACGGTCCGGGAGTTCGAGCCCCGTGTCGGGCTCTGGGCTGATGGCTCAGAGCCTGGAGCCTGTTTCTGATTCTGTGTCTCCCTCTCTCTCTGCCCCTCCCCCGTTCATGCTCTGTCTCTCTCTGTCCCAAAAATAAATAAACGTTGAAAAAAAAAATTTAAAAAAAAAAAACAACAAAAAAAACTGTGGAGAACGTATAGAGTCTGTTGCCTTTCAAAAAGCCCCTGACACCTGTTTCCTGTGTACAGAATTGCACGCCAAATGACCTAAATAGTTGGGTTTGATTTGCCAAGTGATTCACCAAAAAGATTCTCGGATGTGTTCCGGGAACTCGACAGACACATTTTAAACGTATTTGATATTTACAAAAGAGGTATTTGCCGTCTGGACAGAGTTTCAGGAGATCATCTGATTTGCACAGATGGGATCTTCTGTCACGTTCTGTGGCTTTACCATGTCATCGCTTCCCAGCTGAAGCCATGAGACAAGAGAGCATACGGCGTGCCCGGGTGGGAGTCGGGTCTCCCTGTGGCTGCAGAGAGGGCAGGTGGCCCCCGCGGGGACTGCACCAGGTGACTGTGCGGGGTGACAGTGCGTGGGGTGATGGTGCCGGGTGACAGGGCACCGGGCGACGGTGCGCGTGGTGACCGTGCACGTCGGGTGACCGTGCTTGGGGTGACGGTGTGCCAGGTGACAGTGCTTGGGGCCTCCTGCAGGTGGAAAGCAGGTGGGGGGGTCCAGGCCCCGCCAGCCCTCGGAGCCACGAGCAGAGGGCCCAGCCCTGCACCTTCCCCCTGCTTCCTGCTCGTCCCTCCCAGGCTCCCTCTGGGGTCCCGGTGACAGTAACCAAGGCCCTGACCAGATGGCGTCCCTGCTCTTCAGCTGTTGAGTGCACGTAGTAAGCTTGAAATCTTCCAGATGTGGGTTCTCAGCCATCTGTGTTCAGGGTAACGAGTATTGTCACAGCCCAAACTGTGACGCGTTGGCGGGAGATAGCACGTTTGGATCTAGAAGGTTCCAGAAACTCCAGTGGTGCCCATTTCTATGTTGGTGGGATTTGTTGAAAGTGACTCAGTCTCTGTCTGCTGTTTGGGCGTCTGTCTGGTTTCCTTGTGCAGAGACCGGCGTCCGAGGAAGGGGGGCTGCTCCCGAAGGCCCCCAGCGGTCTTAGCCAGTGTCCTGAACGTCTCCCTGACTTCGCACGGTAATCTCAAAGTCCCATTTTCCCGCTTTGATTCCTGACAGCTGGCCGCCTACGGTTCTGCCAGGAACAGCTTCATCCGCGGTCTTGTGACTGAGCGGGGAGGGACACGCCCACGCCCCGTGTCACTCGCAGGGAGGGCTCAGGTGCGTGCCCGCTGCCGACTGACTTTTCTCTCTCAGAGCTTTGGGGCATGTAGACAGGAGTCTGGCTTTCACCGTGCTTTCTGCTCTTCCCGACGTTGATCATCGCCTGAAGCGGCGTGGAAACTCGTTTGCAAAGTGTTTGCCGCGACCGAATCCCGCTCGAGTGGTTGGCGACCCTCGCCGAGAAGCCCGGAGTTATGCGGTGACAACATGACAACAGAAGCTCCACGCGCCTTCCCGACCATCCTCTTACTGTTCTGTCTCCAGAAAGCAGAACAAGTCCGACAGACAGACGGAGCCCTTGCCGGCCGACTCGCTGAGAACACGCGTGTCTGTTCCCTAAAAACTACCGCGCCGGGAGGTGACGCCGTCCACGTTTCCCGTCACGACCTGGGGCGAGGGGGCTCGGTGAGGAGGCGCGGGCCGGTGCGCGTGGACCGCCGGGCTGGGCTCGGCGCCCCCAGGGGTCCGCACCTGCCGGGCCCACTTCTGACACGGAGGCCGGTGCCGCCTGCTCTCCTCGACCCCGAGCGGGCGGCCGCCGACATCTCGTGAAGCCTTCGCTCTGCCCGAGCCCCTGACTGACGGGTGGCTCGGGGCTCAGTCCTTCCTCCACGGTGCTGACCTGCAGCGTGGATTGGAATCCGTCGCCTCTTTGACCACGACCCGTGCCAGACTCCCGTCCATACCCGCCGCACAAGCCCCGGATGTCACCGGCCCGGCACAGACTCGGGCCGGGGTGGCACCGCCTGGTTACTGGAGCCGTCCGGCCCCGTTGCTGCGCCCTGGAAAGGGGGGGACGCAGAACTCCGGCCTCGGTTCGTCTGCCGCCCGCACCCACAGAGAGCGAAGTTTTGTAGAGAAGCCTCCCCCGCCGTGACCCGGAATGGCTTCATTGGAGGCCAGCGGCCGTGCCCAGTGTCCGTGCAGAGACCGAGCTCCTGCACCCAGAGGGGCCTCCACGTCGCCAGCCTCCTTCCCGCGGCCTCCGTGTCTGCCTGCTCCTCCTCCTCCTCCTCCT